GAACAACAATAAGTAACAAAATTGAAAACAAAGTAAAGACACGATCAAAAGAGTACTAATTCCTAATTGATTCCACAAATACGACGTTGCCAATCAATCAATCCCCGGCAACGGCGCCAAAAACTTGGTGCATCGTCAATTCAAACCCAAAATTTATGCAATGTGTCCAAGTTTTACATTTAAAAATTATCACTACTACCTTTCATTAAAAATATAGCTAGGGTGAGTAGGGATCGTCCCAAGGGATTGAGTGTCGTACTAAGTTGAGGAATCAAAATTAGGGTTAGTAGGTTGAGTGATCAAAGTAGCGGTTGGTTGGTTGAATTAAACTAGATGCAAATTAAATTCAAGTAAACAATAATGCAATAGAGAGAATAAAAGAGAGAGAGATCTTGGGGTTTAGAGATCACCACTGAGCATAGCTTTTCTACACCTTTAATGAATGATTAATGAGGGAAAGAACATGTATTGTAATATAGAGTGCGTGTGTGGTTGTTTCAACAAGCATGGATGACAAATTAAGCATGTATTGTCTAAACAACATGGTGGATAGCACAACATATCAAATTAAGCCATTAATCATTTCTTTAAGCTCACAATCCAAACACATCACAAGGTTAGAGATACATGTTACTTATTTTTCATAAGTATGAAACATCAACAACAAGCTGGATTATCCTCCCATTTAACAAATACACTACAACTAAGCTAATGGCATGAAATTAAGCTAATTAAACTAAGGGAGAGATACAATCCATCAAGAAATGAGTATGAACCATCAAATAAACCATAAGAACATGACATTAAGCACTATGTCTTGACAATCTTTAGATCTATAGCATCAACACACATAGACATGCATCAATAATATAAGAAATAGAGACAAACATGTGAACATCTATTCTAGCATACATAGACATATGGATAGAATGAAATGATCAATTGGTAGCATTAAACCACATAAATCATTGAAGAAATAAGATCTATATATATAAAAGTGTTAAGACATGAATCACAATACAAATCCCCTCAAAAATACATAAATCAAGAAGTAGAAAGCATGCTTAGGGCTAACTCTAGCCCCAAGAGGATGTCTAGCCACTCATGGATGATGTCCTCCAACCCTCAAGGGTAAGCTCCATGGAAGAAATCTGCTCCTTGGTTGATGAAGAGTCTCCAATGGTGTCTCTAGCCTCCTCCTCTTCTTTGCTTCCTCACTAAGAGTTCTCTAAGGTATGATATGATATGATAGAATATGATACAAAAAGTAATCCTTATCCTTATATAGGTAGGTCAAATGACACCCAAAATAAGCTGGGGTTGTACAGCAAATATTCTCCAATGATTGGATAAAGGACAACTTTTTGTGAGCTAGAAATTTAACTTTTTTGCACTGGAGGAAGTTCGATCGATCGAACCTTGGACTTAGATCAATCGAACTTAAGTTGGATTGATCCTCAATGGCGGCGCCCTTTTGGATAAAAACAAATCTGAGATATTTTGAAGATATTTTTGGGAAAAGGACAAAAGTGATTAGTAGGGTGGTACAACTGGATAAGATCAATCATTTGGATAAAGACTTTAATGTTCGATCGATCAGAGAAGGAAGTTAGATCGATCGAACTTTTGAGATCTTTGAACAGGGACAAACATGGCTCAGATCCATCTTGAAGTGCTGAGATCGATGAAAGTTGGATCGATCGAACTTTTCTTGAGATCGATCGAAGTTGCTGAAATTCTACTATTTGCTTCCTTTTGCTCTACTTTGCTCTTTTCTTTGATTCATCCCAGAATTGCTTCAATTATGTTCTTATTTGGCTGAGTTAGCTTATTTTGGGAATAAGTACCTGAAAATGGAAATAATACGAAATTAATACAAAACGGTAAAATAAGATAGATAAAGGTTCTAGAATATCTAAGCTTAAGGGGTTTAAATACGCACTTTTCAGCATTCATCAAACATGATTTATGATTTTAATCATATTTATTGTAGTATTTATGAGCTACAAACATAATCTATGGCTGGGTTATATGTTGTATTATGGATAAATATGGTTTGGATGAGGATGAATAGAGAAATGATTAAATCAATTAATAAGTTATTTTTTGTTCTTTTATGATACTTAAATTGTGATAATTAACGCATTAATTTGGTTTATGATTATAATCATATATATTGACGTGTTGGTGATCTAAAATATGATTCTTGATTGTGTATGCTTGTCATGCAGTTGATAGAGATGATATTAATGGGACTTATGTATGCATGTATGTGTGGTGGAACCACGTGAGTTGACTACTAAGTCTAGACTCACTTATACATTTTGGATTCGTTGCCATAGACATGATTAGTCTTTGTCGGGGTAGGTGGTTTGATGCTTGGGGATTCGTTGCCCAGCATTTATTAGTTATGTGATTATGATGAGATTGATGAATGTTAGTGATGAAATCATCGAGATAGTTAATAAGTTAGGCTCCTTGATATTTTATGCCATTGTTAGATGTGTCTTGACATTTGATGAATATGTGGGCTGACTAATAAGTCAAGACACGTTAGATTGTGCCATTATTAGATATGGCTTGACATTCGATGAATAAGTAGGCTGACTAATAAGTCAAGACACGCTACATTGTGTCATTGTTAGATATGATTTTGATTGATGATATTATTATATATTTATATGAGAGCCCTGATACAAGATTAAGGTATCGGGATTAGTGGTTAGGACTGAGTCGTATACTATCGAATATGGGATATAGGAGATGTATGGGCATTGGTAGAGAGGGACTCTTGACCACCTTGTGTGCGATTTTTCATGAGATACTCACTATCCGTTGAGACTGCCCTATATTACAGTGATAGTCTTAATGTGTATATATATGTAGCGACTATGTAAATATAGCATGAGTTTGGTTAGGGACGTATGACTTATCGATTTTCTGGTTGGGTTGTTATAGAAAGGACTTGTTTGTGAGTTTCGACTTACCTTTGTTATATTTTTTCATGTGCTTGTTAGTTCAAGTCATAGAGGTTGTTCGTGTTAATTATAGAGCATTCATCTTTACTCTTTCGTAGTCATTGGCGTAGGATACTATCTTTGTATAGTTTACTTAGTGGATTTTAGTATCTTTATATTTCGGTTTTGTTATTTTGTTTAGGGGTCCATGATACGGATTCCTGAGTTGTATTATGGAGGTTTATTCCTTATGGAATTTATTGGAGGATTGGTATAAGAGGATTGATGATTTATTTAGTTTTTCATTCAGCGAATATTTATTTATTCTTATTTCATCTTGTATTCTGTGCTTGTTTAAATATTAATTGTTTGGTATCCCCGAGTTTTCGGGTGTGGGCCAAGCCAACCTACACGTGGAAATTTGGGGGTATCACATTAGTTACCATTCAATCTTCCACCATTTTCATAATTCTTAAGTCGTTGTTAAAGGCAAAAAAGAACTCTCAAAAGGGTGGTCATTCCATACCCTTTTTACAGTTGCTTGATAATTGCTATAGTATAACAAATATCTGGAATATTGTTTAGCTCTTCAATTGGATTCGGTAAGAGTCATGGCACGCCCACGCATCAACTAAAATTATGTTGTGGCTAAACAATGTCATCATTTAGGTTCATATACCCCCTTTTTAATCAATGTCATTCCATAGATTCACACGATATTCCCTAGAATAACATAACTTATTTAAACGAACTACGTTGAACCTGATTCTTGTCATGGCATTCATGAATAAGATAGGTAGGTATCTCGAATAGGTTTCGAGTTCCATCACCCTACACTTACATTTTTCTACTTATTGAATATCCTTTTAACTACTTATTAAGGAACTAGATCTCTTTTTTCTAGAAGTGGTTTTGTCATTAGACGATATTACATTCACAAGCAACATGAAAGGTAAAGTAAGTAACTGTACTCGATATGGGCATTTTTGGGGTGTTTTAACACTTCTCCAAGTATAAGTTAACCCCCGAACCGGATGATTTGGTTCACGCCGACTAGTTGAAAGTCACATTAGGTCCCACGTTGTATTTCTTCCCATTATCACTCCTTAAAGCTCCCTTATGTGACCTAGAACACCAAAACTGGATGTTAGGTGGCGAATCCACATTGGCTGTCGCATTCCACGTTGACATCTTCCAACCCTGTCGCATTTAAGTTTGAGAAACCTCATAACTTATTGGCTAAATCACCCACCCATTGCAGGGGTGAGACATCGCGCTGTGACTAGCCCTCATTGGCGAGTTTTCCCGGGCACGATATAAGTGAAACACACTCAAGTCAATAGTTAGATCACACACCACACAATAATAGGTTATAATCAGCAAAACTGCCAAGTTAAGTTGGTTAGAAAGCCGTTAGGCTGGACTAATTTGCTTAAGGTTTGTTGCAAATGATTTGAAAGCTTGATCTTAGACTGGTTATGATGAGCTTTCTTCAAATATGCAAGATTGAATGAGGCTTAACTAATTTGCAATCGATGGTCGTTGAAGCTCAATCTCAAAATGTGGGTTAAAGATCTTTAATGAATAATGACACTTGTGTGACGTGATTATTGTTCTCCATTTCAACACTTGTTTGGTATGTTCATTGTTTTTCGCCTTCAAAATTTTCAAGTATTAGAAGAGTCAAGTATTTAACCCAGTTTCAACAGTCGATTTAGTTTTTCTGTATATATATTTTTTCTTCTCCACCCATCTACCTTTATTTATAGGATCCATTAATGGGTAAAATTGTAACTTAAGCCATCTTTAAGAATTGCCCATTTATTTGTTTGTCCTTCAAGATAATTATGCATAAACATGTAGGGGAAATAAAAATTGTGCATAAGTTTGGGCTTGTTGGGCAATTTGGTCTAATCTATCATTCCAAATTTGATGATGAGTGTGAAACCCAATTGATATTTAATTTATCTCTTATTGACTTTTTGAGTCTCAAACAGTGGTAACTCATAAAAATCTGATAATTAAAAGTTGCTTAAAAAAAAAAAAAAAAAAAATTGGATGAGTCTCGGAATCAATGACATGGACATTCTTCCAATAAACGAAGAAGTGCCTCTCTCTGTAGTCTAGTCTAAAACCCACACACAATCCTACTCACAATTCTTCGATTTCCCTGCTTTCCACGCAAAACCCAATTCCCTGAAACCATAAAATCGTTTCCCTTGGTGCTTTCTCTTCACTTTCCCTTCTCTGAAACACCCATTTCCGCTTTCATCAACAACGCGTGAGGCGTGAGGCGTGAGGTGTCGAGGCTTTGGAGTCTATTTTGGCTGCCACAAACACAAGAAAACACCGACCCCAAATCGATGTCACCGCCTTTTTGAGTAGCCGACAAATACAGATTGTCTCGCTTTCCCTTCTAACCCTCTAATGCTAACATTTTGGTGGGGTTGTTTACCAAAGTTTTCAGACGGAGATTTCAAAGTCGGTGCTTCGAATGTTCCTCGAATCTTTACATTTGATCGTTTTGGTATAGATATTAGTTTATTATATGGAGAAAATCCCATGTGGTAAACACTTCTGAATTGGTGTGTTCTTCTAGAATTTGAAGCGCAGAGGAGAGAATTGGGTATCATCCAAGGGCTGAAATTTGATTGGAGGAGGTTGTTTTGATATTGGTGAGAAACCCACCAATAAAATCAAATCTTTTGATGTTTGGGGGTTTGTATATATGAATGTGAAATTCATGTAGAATCAGAAGAGGTGTGTCTAAATTCTGCAAAAATAAATTTAGAAGTAGATAGTAAGGGCTTAGTAGAATATGATTTTCTAGTTTATTTGTAAAGATATTTTGTGTGTGATAGAGTATTTGTGGTTGTTGTATTTGATTGTGTTTCTTTGCAAATAATAGAAGTTGAGATTTATTAGAAGAGGATGGTTGCAACTACTGAGGGTGAAGTGTACTCAAATGGGTTGATTCAGAACTCAAATGGCGCCACAGAAGAGAAGGTCGATGAGCTTCGTCGTCTTCTGGGTAAAGCAGATGGTGACCCTTTGAGGATTGTTGGTGTTGGGGCTGGTGCTTGGGGTAGTGTTTTTGTAGCATTGTTGCAAGATAGCTATGGTCACCTCAGAGAGAAGGTTCAGATTAGGATATGGAGAAGACCCGGAAGGTCTGTTGATAGAGCAACAGCTGAGCATCTATTTGAGGTGATCAATTCGAGGGAAGATGTATTGAGGAGACTTATTAGGCGATGCGCGTACTTGAAGTATGTGGAGGCCAGATTAGGCGATCGGACGCTATATGCAGACGAGCTTTTGAAAGATGGGTTTTGCGTGAATATGATTGACACCCCACTCTGCCCTTTAAAGGTTGTCACCAACTTGCAGGAGGCTGTGTGGGATGCTGATCTTGTGGTGAATGGTTTGCCATCAACGGAAACAAGGGAGGTTTTTGAAGAAATTAGTAAGTATTGGAAGGAAAGAATTACTATGCCAGTCATCATTTCATTAGCAAAGGGTATAGAGGCTGAATTGGAACCCGAACCCCGTATAATAACTCCTACTCAAATGATCAATCGAGCAAGTAAGGATTGAATTCTTTAGTCCCTCACCCCCCTCTTGAATTGTTTTTATGGATGCAATGCATAGACTGAATCTTGTTAATGTATTATACCTATATTTTCCTGTTGCAAAGATTTATTCTGGCAAAGGACTTGCTTTCTACAAAAATTGATGCATGGATTGTTATACTGCTGATTTGTTGACGGGTTCCAGGTTGTTTTAATTTAAAAGACAAAAAAAATTATTGTTGCCTTGGTAACTGATTGTCATGCTGACAAACCATTTGAACACCGCACTTCTTTTAATAGTGCAGGTTAGAAATTAAATTATAAATACAAGTCTAATGTGTCGATATTTAAAAGTCAATGAAGATGATCACCAGTCTTTTTAGTTGATCAAGGTCTTGAATAATTATTTTAGTAACTGTCAGAACAAAGGGTATTGCTCCTGGCTGTAGATTTTTTCTGCAAAAAATGCCACTGAGCAAAGATGATCGTTACTGAGAAAAAATAAAAATCTTGACGGTTATGGAAGTTCCCGCATACAAGAGTGTATGGCCTAAGACTCTTACTTGTCCCGATGAGATGATGTTTTTGGTTTTGCGACTATGAGAAACATGCTTAGCCTTTAATAATTCATAGCTTATAATTACATTTTTAGACTCGTCTGGAAGTGATTATAATTCATTTTCTTGACCTGATGAACTATACTTACTGGGGTTATTATATTTAATTGATGTAGGAATTTCCTTAAAAGTTAGAAATCCAATAGAAAATAATAAACAGCCAAATGAGAAGATAATAGAGACAGGTAGTGATGATGCATCACACCTCTGTAATAGTTCGATCAGGCTAAAAATTTATAAGTTGACAGTTGACATAAGAGTGGGAAAATATATAAGTTGATAGTTGACGTAAGAGTTGGTGAATAAATTTAAGAACTCGAAGATTGAAGACAAAAAAGAGAAGAGGAGGGAATCACACATTGGTCTAGACACTCACTCTTAAGAAAATGCCTATATCATCAGTCATCACTTATAAAAAAAGCAAACACAGACATGGAGGCTTAATCAACTCTGAAGATTTAATACTCGATCTCAACCTATTTCAAGCTATGAGACTAGTTAAGGCTGATCCACACTTGACCATGAAACAAAACACATGCTTGGCCAAGTCTATTATGTAGCTCAAAATTTCATTAAGAAGATACCACTAATATTTAAACTCAAATAAAAATATACTCTAATACTTGTTTAGCAGTATTCCTTGATAAAAACATGCTGAAGACTCCACAAAATCTTATAATGAAATCTAGTAAAAAAATTCCCAACTGGTTTTTGTCTTGAAGTATAACCAGTACTCTGTAAGTCTCTTTTCTATGAATTAATACTGCTTTCTTGCGCTTCTTGCGTTCTTCATTTTTAACAAAATAAAGTTCTTACATTACCTTAGTGTTTGCTGGTATAATATTTTATTCCCCTCACAGGATACCACAACTTTCTAGAATGTGATTTCTAGTCTTTCTAGGTGCCTTGTGAATGAGAGCCTGCACATACTAACATACGTGGAGATACAGGAACATGCCTGCTATGGTGCTAATTCAACATATCATACAGATGGTCTTCTGTCTTGAATTGCTATGAAATTTTCACCAATTTGTTGAGGATGAATTACAAAGAAAAAAGGAACTCGCATGTTAAAAAAATTTATTTGTTAGTAGTTCTGTTGCTTGTTTGACCTGCATTATATAACAATTTATTTCTGCTCCATCTTTCCGTAATTACCCCTTGAAGTCGCTAGAGGTGGAACTTAAATGCACTCCTCTACCCCATCTTATGATGAATATATAATTTGCAGCTGGACTTCCCATGGAGAACAGTCTATATCTTGGAGGACCTAATATTGCATCAGAGATTTACAACAAGGAATATGCTAATGCTCGGATATGTGGAGCTGAAAAGTGGAGGAAACCACTAGCAAAATTTTTGAGGCAACCCCATTTTGTTGTGTGGGATAATGGTGACCTTGTCACTCATGAAGTTATGGGTGGCTTAAAAAATGTCTATGCCATCGGAGCTGGTAAGATTCAAATTCTTGATCGTAAACTAGAACTTGCGGATTAAAGAATGTGTTATATGTTTATATTTTTGGATCATTCCATTTCATTTTATATCACGAGGGATTAGGACCGAAACCCTACGCTCTGATTTTGAGGAAGAAGTGCAAGGCTGTGATCTAAACTTAGAGGGAGTCATTTGGCCATGGAAAACTAATTTAGAAAAGCTCAACTAATTTTTAGATTAAAATGAACTATAATGATAATTTTAAAACTGACTAACTTTAAAGCATGATGCTAAATCTGTTCATTATTCATTTAATATGATTAAGAGCATCAAAATAAAAACCATTCAAACCACGCATGTACAAGATTTTTACATGGAAACCTTAAAGGGAAAAACAATGGGACCTAATCCAGTTGATCAAATTTCACTCTGAGAATGAAATTACAACTAGGTTGACCAGATTCCTAAAACCCTAGAAATTCCCTAGTTTTTTTTTTTTTGGATAGAGTTACGCAAGATCCAATCTAACCTCTTCATGAATTTTCGGTCAACAGATTTACTTCTCACAAATGGATTTTCAATTTCCACAACTAGTCGACCAATCCTTGTGTTCCTTGTGTGGTTAAACTTTTGGTGTTGATGTCTTTTGATGCACAACTGAAATGACCAACACACACTCACGAAAAAAAAAACTCTGGCAATTTGATTTGCTAAAATGCATTCAAAGTTGAAAAACTTTATGCCTTGATGTTTAGGATGCTCTCTTATGTGCTCTCCTTATTTTTCTGAAAACATATGAGTAGTATAAATTGGGTTTAGACATTAAGAGATTAGGGTTGTTAATCAAGTTTCAATTTTAAAAGAAAAATGCAATTAACTTATCAAAAAAAGAAAAGAAAAATGCAATTCACAGTTGTTGATCGAAACATAGCCAGTGGCCTTAGATGGATCCTTCATCAATGGAAGTGCCCTATCCAACAAGCTTTAGGATTTTTATTAAGGAAAGTTCTAAAACACCCTTATGCTTTCCAAGGGATTTTGACTCATCAAACCATCAATTTTGAAAACCCTAATGTAATGAATGCAACAAAATCATAAATCTTAAATGGTGAGTACATGAGTGATTGTCAAAATGACCTTTTGCCCTTGTATATTTCCTAAATTCCATTTCTACCCTTAGGTTAGAGGTAATCAACTAAACTAACTCAACTTTTAAGCATACTATCTGAAAATAAAAATAAAAATAAAAATATGGACTCAAGCTTTTGTGATGAAATATGCTGACCTAAGTTCTATTGACCTAACATTCTCCCCCTTGCGCAATTTTGTGACAAAAGAAAATGACCTTCAAATAAGCATAAAGAAAATATTTTAGACACCAATACCATTATACTCCATCACCACCACCACCAAGGTGACGAAGTTCTTCATGAACTCGGAGTACATCGTAGTGTATTTGTGTACTCAAAACAAGTTGCAACTGAAAGTTGAAAATTATTCTCTATGCTTGTTAAGCCGTATATCAATGTTTTATCAACCTTGGATAATAGAGCCTCAATTTCATCAAACACGGTTGAGTGGTCTCGATTGACGTTGAGTGTGCCATTCATAATTAATCCGGTGTGGTACAATTTGGTACTTCTTTTTCTTGTCCCTCCTCTTCATCTTCGTCACAATCATTAATTGACTCACTAGAATTCAGATTCATATGACCTTGACATTTTTCTTTGGGAAGATGTGAGATGAGTTTGTTGAGGGAGGAATGGTTGAGTGACTTTTTTCCTTCATCATTTTCTCATTGATGTTAAAATTTGAATAAAAAAAAGCAAGCAGACCCCAAGTGTTGTTCATGGGTACTCTCCAGTTTCAGAACTTTCCCCGAGTTTGGTTTTCCATTTTTTGATATGACCCTAAAAATTTAACCCTTTGTTGTGTGTTTACATACATACAATTCCATATTTGTACTTTTATCCCTAAGAAACTGGTTATAATTGGCCCTAAATACCCTTGCTAGTGCTGCATTATATCAACTTTGGCAATACATGCCAGATGTTTGTGCTCATCATGATTTTGAATTGGAGTGATGATGTATCTTACTTAGGGCTGCAAATGAACCGAGCTGTTCATGAACAGCTCGGGCTCGGCTCGTTAAAAGCTCTGTTCGGGCTTGTTCGTGAAGTAAACGAGCCGAGCTTGAACACATTTTTTAGGCTCGTTTAGTAAACGAGCCGAGCTTGAGCAACGCTAAGCTCGGCTCGTTAGGCTCGCGAACAGGCTCATTTAGCAAAATGATTAATTTTTATTTTATTTTATTTTATACTAATATACAATTGTGTGGCCCATTTAATATAAAGCCAATCTAAATACATATTCATTAGCCCAAGTTCATTTAACTTTAAGCCCAACTCACCTTAAACCCAACTCTACTTAACCTATTACCCTACATCATTATATATATCTATCTTTATATCAGGCGTTGGTTTTTCTGACGAATTTCATTACAGTAGCCGCAACATTGCTTCTTGCTCTCTAGCACGCCGTCGCAACATCGCTTCTTCCTCTCTAGCACGCCCTCAACTGTCTCCAACAAATCTCTGTAATATCTGCTATGAAACCTTAAACAAATCTTGCAACATCACTCATCTAATCCCATCCCTTTCAACATTGATACAGCATTGAGGAGGGTTTCCAATAGATCTCTCTCTCAAATCTCTCTATGGGTCTCGACGTCCCAATCATATTTTAGTGTTGGCGAGATCAGAAGAATGATCGGAGAGCTCTTTTCGTCCGTTGTCAAAACAGTATTTAGATCTAAAGCTTTTCTTTTCTTTTTTTTCTTTTTTTTTTTCATTTTGGCTTGAAGGCGAGCTCGAGCCGAGCCGAGCCCGAGCTTGCCAAAATATTGGCGAGCCAAGCCCGAGCCTAGTTTGGCTAAGCTCTCCCAAGCCCGAGCACCCTCCTAAAGCTGGCGAGCCGAGCTCGAGCACCCTAATCTTACTGTATTGAAGAAAATTAATTGCCTATTGGGTGGCATCATGACCAGTGCACATAAAAGGTTGCCTCCTGCTCTAGTTGATAAAAAATTTAAAGGTATCAGGTGTTTAATGTGATTGGTTTTACTACTCTTCAAGAGATCTAATTGATTTATTTGAAAAGTTTTAAACATGAAGCATATCTTTGGAGGTTTCCTTGGGACAGTTACCCAAGGCTCTGATACGTAGTACTGGTGATGCAAACTTAGGGAGGTGAATAGGTCTTATTATATTAAATAAAAAATTTAACTAACTTTTAACTTTTTCTGATGATTGTGTTTTAAATTTCAGTTATTTAAGTTGAATTACATCCACACAATCACATGAACATAGTAAAATAACTAGAGAGTAGAGACAATATTTTTATGCGGAAAACCTTCAACAGGAAAAATCATGGAACCTAGTCCAACCATTAACAATCCACTATGATAAAGAGATAGTACAACCAGGTTACCAGATTGCCACCCTAGAATTCATTAGTTACCTCTTAACACATACAAACCAAACTCTCCACTCAAGTCTCCTGGTTGTCCATTCCATCAACCAAGAAATTTGCTTCTCGATGGCTTGTTCAATCCTTCTGCTCTTTGATTTTTGGTTGACTTTCTCTTTGTAGTTAATTATGATGATCTTCTAGTTTTGGAGACTTTATATCACATATATATGTAACTTGATGTAAAATGCTAGGTTAAGGAACAAGGGATTTTCTCTCTAAAGTAGGATTCTCTCTCTAGTATGCTTAGAGGCTCAAATGATCACCCTAGACTGACAATAACCCCATTTATGGTCAATATAGGAGGCTCATGCTATATAGTAAGTTAAATCCTTTTTTTTTCTCCCATGAGTAAATTTCATTAAAGAGCGGTCAAGAGGGGAGCGCATCCTAGAACAACTGCAAAAAGGCCAAAAAAGAAGCTAAACTTTCAAACCATCCACAAAATCTAATAAGTCCACCCATTGATTAACAATTATTCCCGTATACCCAAAAAAATAAAGAACTAAGAAGCCATCAAAGCATCTCCTACAGGAGGTCCTCAATTGATTAAGCCTTCGGTTGAGGATTATTGGAATTCAAAACGAATTTCTAGAATACCTTCGATTGATAAACATATCAATAAAGGCTTTCTGGAGAGCACTCAATCATTCGACCTATCCATTGACACATTTTTTTGTGTGGCTAATTATTCATTGACACGTTTTCCAATAAAACTTAGTTTTGAAAATTTTCAGAAAACTTTAATTTGAAAGCACCAACTTTAGAAACAAGTTGAGAATAAATATTTTGAGTCTTTTCAAGATCAAATCTAGGTCATTTGAGGTCTTCTAAGGTGTATTTACTTGTGCCCTAGATATGTGATATCACCATGTGGATTTTGCGCTGTGTTCTTTATGAATCTTGAGCTCCATTGTCTTCAACAATTGTAGCCAACTGACTCAAGACATTCTAACAGTACAACCCAAGTTTTGAATAGAAATTGCCGACAAATGACTCTAATTCCTAATGCTTCTCGAAAATTTGATTAAAACGTTTCTCTTTCCAAGATCATAAATGCGAAATATGTAGAGCCTTTTTTACAAAGTATTCATTCAGTTCTCCAGCTTCTAGATTAACGGATGGGTTTCAAACTAATTTATTTTCTAATTATGGCTTCTAGTTTTCTCTTCAAACTAGACATTGGTTTAAAGTTAAGTGTTTCCTATCTTAGTCATCTAAATAAATCATGAAAAAATTCCTGGAAATGCCAACAGGAAAATAGGTTGGTTATGTTGGGCTCTACAACAGGAAAATAGGTTAAAATATTGATGTTCGGGCAATTCTTTGCTGCTGTTGGGTTTATGAGAATAGGAACCAACTTATTACTGGTGGCAATTTATCTTTAATGAAATTGCATAAGATTGAGGGAACATGGGGTCAAACTAATAAAGTGAAAATAAAATGTAAAATATATAAAAAGTATAGTATGTTTAAGATCTAAGATAAGATTACTTATAAAAAAGTATTTCATAACCCATTAAGTGCATCAAAAATACATCTAACCAATTTTGGCATAGATATGAACAAAAATGGACAGAAAATAACTTTCTTATATATCTAAACAGAAACCTTGCTCGTTGATCATGACCATGACTGAATAAGAGAGGTTGTCTGTGTACATATGAAGAGGCACTGAAGATAGGTTTTTATGGGCTTTATATTGGCCCTTTATGGGGAACATTTCATTGGGTTTTCCCGATGTAATTCCACCCATGTGACATATTCCAGCTGTTTATAAGCTATAATGCCTTTTTCTGGAAATTTGTGTTTTTTTTTTTTTTTTTTTTTTTGTTGCAATCTTCATATTTAAGCAATGAACTTGGAATGCAAGCATGCCGAGCATAATTTTGGTTTCGCTGAAGCAAAAATAATTCAAATTTAATTCTTATAATTGGTGAACATGAATCCCAGTTATATATTTGAGCAACTCTTCATTTGTAGCCCTGATTGAGGCTTTATTGTCATATTTTATAAAATGTTTTTATGCTTGTTCAAATTAGTTTCCTACTCCAACTGAAAAGCAAAAATAAAAAATAACATGAAATGGAGGAATAATTCATATCTTGATTAACATAATCTCATTCTATACAATCTCTCTTTCCAGGTTTGGAATCTGTTCAGTTACCTTTTCTTTTTGAATTTGACAGGTATGATAGCAACTCTAACTAATGAGAGTGCCACCAGTAAATCAGTATACTTTGCACACTGTACATCAGAGATGATATTTATTACTCATCTTTTAGCAGAAGAACCAGAGAAGCTTGCAGGTCCTCTGTTGGCTGACACATATGTAACCCTGTTGAAAGGTCGTAATGCGTGGTATGGCCAAAAGTTGGCTAAAGGGGAATTAAGCCTTGATATGGGCGATAGTATCAAAGGGAAAGGGATGATTCAGGTGCGTTTATTGATTACTTAAAGGAAGTGATGATATGATTGATGGGTCCTTTGAGTTCTTTCTGTCAATGCACTTTTTACACAGCCTTAGGTTACTGGTTGGCTTGGGTGGTTAAATTCCATAACTATGAAGCAGTTGATTTTAATATGCACCAGGTATGTTTGAAAAGAGTTCCATGGTGAAATGATTTAATCACCTCAAAAAAAGAATTTTGTTTTTGGGTGGGGGGGTTTTTGGTATTTTGGGGGGGGGGGGGGGGGGGGGTGGTTATGGTCGTCTTTTGAGCTTCACCAAAGCAAGTACACTTGAATTGCCTGAATTATTATTGTAACATCATTTAAGTTGTTGGATAATAATATGACGTAAATGCTGACTTTAGGAGTCAAATTGGGGGGTACTCAGAGTTGCTTACAAGCGCATTTATAAGTTCTAGTGATATGGCCTCTAAATTGTGACTTTTTTTGCCAACTTGCTACTGCAACCATATTATGGATCGTATGTAGAATATTATCCTGTTATTCCTGTGGACAATTAATTTCTTGGACACGGGTGAACAGGACACCAATGTTTGGACACCTTCGTAGGAGTTCAGTTCTATTTACTTAATAAATGCACAGATTAAGTGTGCAGTACATATCTCCTCAACTGCTTTGTTTCTTGGACACTAGTGAACACTATACCCATGTAAGAAACCTGTTTGGATACCTTCATAAGAAATGTATGTAGAACTTGTGTGTACTGGCTATTTCCTTGTTTAGTATGCTATATGGTTTTTACATTTACACTTGTGATTCCTTTATGCACACAAACCCAAAGCACGAATAAACGAACTGTGAGAAGAATACTCTCTCTAGATTGTGAAGTCTTGATTCGAACATCCCATATCTGCACAGATTGAAGTACAGGCGCAGTGTGTGTGTGAAAAAGAAACTATGCCCATGATGACTTAGTAAATTATTTTGCTGATTATATGGAACTAGAGTTTCAATACTTGATCTGTACAATCCTTTACCATTTTATGTAGCAAAGGCGTCTAATCTTTCATTGCTGTTAGCACTCTTTTATGCCCCCGTCTTCTGTGTTGCAGGGAGTCTCCGCAGTGAAAGCCTTTTTTGAGCTACTAAGTCAGTCTCGTTTAAGTATCCTACATCCCGAAGAAAAAAAGCCTGTCGCTCCAGTTGAGCTCTGTCCCATCTTGAAAACATTATATAAAATACTAATAATGCGGTAATGTTCATTTTTTACACCTCTCTCTCTCTCTCTCTCTCTATGATAGACTATTGATCCATCTGAATCTTCAGGGAGCTCCCACCACTGGCCATTCTTCAGGCACTGAGAGATGAAACTATGCATGATCCCCGAGAGCGCATTCAAATAGCACAAACCCATGCATTTTACAAACCTTCCCTTCTTGGGCAGCAGCCTTGAAGGAGATACGAGCAATAAATTTTTTCTGTTCTCCCAGGATGGGAAATCTAAGTGAACTAAGATTTTGCATATTCAGCCATTTTTGTAGCATGATATGGACTTATGATGATCAGTACAATAGTTGTTTAAGCAATGGTTTGTCAGATTATGTATCTCAGTTCATTTGCCCCTCAGTTCTAGTTTTATTTGGGAGAGTTGATAACGTGCTATATTCAACCGTAGTTTTTTACTTTGGATTGTGATAAGTGTGGCAATATGTCATTGTCCAGAATAAAAATTTGACTTCATATCAATTTTCCCGCCGACGGTTTTGCCAAAAATACCCCCATCAACCAAGTCACTTTCATTAATATCTATATGTGTGGGACAGCTTATTGATTTCGTAGTTTTGAAATTAGTATTAGTATTAGAGCGGCTTTTGCTAAAAATACCCCATCAACAATTGTTCCTTGAGAGCAAAAAATTAAATACTCACTTTTAATTCTAACATTATGATCTAATATTTTCTTTATTTTAAGAAACTTATATTTTCTTTCCATATCATTAAGGCTCTGTTTGGTTAGATGGAAATAGGCAATAAAAGAAAAGAAATAGAAAATGAAAGAAAAGTGAAGTGAATGGGCAAAAAAAAAAAAAAAAAAAAATTTCTAATATGCATTTGGTTAGAATGAAAATTTATCCAAGAAAATTGTAAAAAAAAAAAATATTAATTTATTATTTTGGATAGCATGAAAGTAAAAAAAAAAAAATCAATTAAAGATACCAAATTTACCCTTATAATTTTAAATACTAATAAATAAATAAATTTGTATTTATTGATGTCTATTTTTAGCAAAGAAATAGTAAAATAATGGATTATTAAATTTAATAATATAATTATTTATATTTTATTTATATTTAAAATAAGACTTCATAATATTTTCTGAGGCAGTAATAGAACTAATTATTAGTGTATGAGAAACGAAACTTAAAAAAAAAACACGGAGATGCATTGATGGCAATACTAATTATTTTTAAAGAGATCTGATTGTATTTTGTTGTTGTCAATTATATATGAATTTGTGGAAAAACAAACAAAGGTGAAAAAAAAAAAAAGTTATTTTGCAGAGAATTTGCCTCTTAGAAATTCAGTACAAAAATAAACGAAGAACTTGTTTTTCACTGTTGGGTAAAATGGGAATGTCAAATAAAAAGGCAAACATTTCACGCGAAAAAATTATTTCGCGAAAAAATTATTTCCCTGTGTTTTGTGCATGAAAAGTTTTGAGGGAAAATAGACAAGTATGGAAACAAAATTTTCCATTAGTTTTCTCTTTCTATCTATCCAAACTCTAAAAAAATTTAAAATTTTTCTCTTTCCTTTCTTTTCTAGCTGTTTCCACAAAATAACAGAATTAGACAATTTATTAAAGGAAACAAAAAAAAATAATAATTTGGCTACTTTTTTGTTTGGGTTTCTCTGTCCAATATCGATTGTTTATTCAACAAATTTGCAAGCAGCAACAGAAACCAAATAAAATTAATCCAAAGAGATAAATAAAATGGCCATTAAATAAAGATTGCTTGAGAAGTATTGATTATAATCAAAACTCATAAATGTATACATATTTTTGTGGGTTGAAATCGGACCAAGATCACCTCTAGTCCCATAGTGCCCCATTTGCTCCATTTTGGGTAAATGAACAGTGTTTACCATGTTTGGTTAAAAAATATATTTTTGTAATATAGAATTTTCGTGTATATATGTATATACTGTTGAAGAATACACCTTTTTTGTTCCCTCCCTCATTTCTTCTTCCTCTTCCCTCCCTCATTTCAGGCGCCTTTGAAATAGAAATCAAATCCCGCCACTAGCCTTCTTCTCTTCCAAAATATGAATGAAGCCATTTTAGAAATTCTTTCTTTCCAAATAGAATCCGGAAGTAGCGATATTGTTGTGTGAATCAACCCAAAATTTGAATGCTATAAATTGTTTCCAAATAGAAGCAGTGCTTCTATCAATGGCAATAAAATTGCAGATTCGGATTTCCTTCCAAAAACGAAGCAGCAATGTATTTCCAAAGCTAAGCAGGAGTGTATTTCCAAATCGAAACAGGAGATCACTTTGTTTCCAACCCTAAGCAGGTACGATTCATAATTTTGAAATTTGATGTTGAAGAAAATCGTCTTATTTCCATAAGAACTGAATGGCAGAAACAAATATAATGAGTAAGAATATATAAACACAATTTTGGTAAGAAACCCAGAAATAGAAAATTATTGGTGAATTTGAATTGATCGCTATTTTATTGTGCAGTTATTAGGGGTTTTACTGTTTGTCTGTGAGAATAAAAAATGAGAGGATTTGTAGGGTACATAACTGGCCGGAAAAGAGTGTTTCAGAGTATTACAATGTTAAGAAAATGTTTAGTCGTTGAACTTGCATCGTAACGTTTTCTTAAGTTGCATCCCAACTTTCTCCTAATAAGCATCCCAAATTCTTCCTTATCTACATTCCAATATTTCTGTAAAGTGAGTCACAACATTTTCCTAAGGTACATCCTAAAATTTTCGTAATATAAATCCCAAAGTATTTGTAAAGTGTATCCTAAATTTTCCTAATGTAAATCCCAAAGATTTCGTAATTTACATCCCAATTTCTTGAAAAGGTACATCTCAAATTTTTCATAAGGTGAGTCTCAACTATTTTGTAAGATGAATCCCAACTGTTTGCTAACGTAAATCCCAAATTTTGTGTCATATTAATCCCAACATTTTCACAAAGTGTATGTGAAATTAGCATCAGTTGGTTGGACATATATATTCTGTTGTGGCTACGAGGATTTTTATCCTCGTTTGTCTACGATATACTTGATTGATACATGCAAATAAATGAATGAGATATATGTCAAATTTAATTTCTCATACATGTGAAAAAGGTTTTTTATTTGATTGGTCATACATGTGAAAAGGTTTTGTATTTGAGCCGTTGAAATGGAACATACTTGGGATGTAGAAGTAAAATTATTTTTTGTTAATTCAATATTGTATGCATATCTGAGAAAATGTTTTGTATTTGAGCTATTCAGATAGAAGGTGAAGTAAATAATATTCAAGACACAACAAATGGACGAAACGTTCCTGTTGTAGAACCGGAAGTGATTAAATGGAAACCAAGGTATAAAATGGAACTTGATAATGAGAAAGAGGCATATGAATTTTACAATGCATATGATGGTCATATTGGTTTTAGCACCCGGAAGGAGTATGGCAATAAAGTTAATGGAAGAATTACATCAAGGGCATTAGTTTGTAGCAAGGAAGGTGTGAAGGGGACTGACAAACGGGATGTATTTAGAAAGACTCTCCGGGCTCAAACACGAACCAATTACGGTGTACGAATGGTTCTTAGATATGACAAGACAAAGGCAAAGTACGTAGTTTCTAAATTTGTAGAAAGTCACAACCATCCATTCATAATTGCTAAATGCAGCCACATGATGCCGTCCCAGCGACAAATTTCCTCAGTCTTGGCCATCGATGTTGAGTTGGCTTCGGATTCAGGAATTTCGGCTTGCAATGCATATGAGTTGATGGGAAGGCAATCTGGTGGCAAAGAATCAATTGGATACTTAAAAGTGGATCTTAAAAATTATCTAAGGACGCGAAGACTCTTTATGGAGAGGTGGCATGACTTGTAGATTATTTTGAGACGCGTGCTTGTGAAGATCCTTCGTTCTTCTATTCCTTGCAACTGGATACTGAGCAAATGATTACGAACATATTCTGGTCAGATTGTAGAATAATCATTGATTATAGCCATTTTGGAGATGTTATCAGTTTCGACACAGCGTACAAAATGGTACACGGCAATAGACCATTTGCAATTTTCTTGGGTATGAATCATCACCGGAAGACCGCTGTGTTTGGAGCAGCCTTAATGTATGATGAGACAGCGGATTCGTTTATCTGGTTATTTGAAAGGTTCTTGAAAACAATGGGCAGAAAAGCGCCAAAGACGATTATTACAGATCAAGACGCTGCAATGGCGAAGGCATTAAAGCAGGTGAATAACTTTCATGCATCTCAATTCGTATTTTTTGGATTTGCAATATTGCAACACGGGTATTAAGTTAATTAATCTTGCAGTTAATTTTGATGATCTTCTTGTTTTAGAGACTTTCAATCACATATATATGTAACTTAATGTAAAATGCTAGGTTAAGGAACAAGGGATTTTCTCTCTAAAGTAGGATTCTCTCTCTAGTATGCTTAGAAGCTCAAATGATCACCGTAGACTGACTATAACCCCATTTATAGTCAATATAGGAGGTTCATGCTATATAGTAAGTAAAATCCTTTTTTTTTTTTTTCTCCCATGAGTAAATTTCATTAAAGAGTGGTCAATAGGGGAGCGCATCCCAGAACAACTGCAAGAAGGCCAAAAAAGAAGCTAAACTTTCAAACCAGCCACAAAATCTACTAAGTCCACCCATCGATTTACAATTATTCCCGTATACCCAAAAAAATAAAGAACTAAGAAGCCATCAAAGCATTTCCTACAGGAGGTCCTCAATTGATCAAGCCTTCGGTTGAGAATTATTGGATTTCAAAACGAATTTCTAGAATAACTTCGATTGATAAACATATCAATAAAGGCTTTCTGGAGAGCACTCAATCATTCAACCTATCCATTGACACATTTTTTTGTGTGGATAATTATTCATTGACACGTTTTCAAATAAAACTTAATTTTGAAAATTTTCAGAAAACTTTAATTTGAAAGCATTAACTTCAAAAACAAGTTGAGAATAAATATTTTGAGTCTTTTCAAGATCAAATCTAGGTCATTTGAGGTCTTCTAAGGTTTATTTACCTGTGCCCTAGATATGAGATATCACCATTGTTAGGCGCTGAATGTTATACATTTTAGCCCCTTTACTTGCATGTTTTATTCTCTTAATAATAGTTTATTTGTGATTTTACATTGTTTTATTATTTTTTATTTATTTCAGGGCTTTAATTGTAAAATCAGTCAAGACCAGTGATTCTGAGTTTCAAAAGATGACATTCCATGGGACCGAGCAATGTTGAAGATCCAAGTCTAATTATACTTAGAAAATAGTCCAAAAGAAGCCACAAGTTGGTGAGAATGGAAAGAAGAAGAAAAGGAAAAATCTTTCTCCAAAAAGGAAACTTTCGCCAAAGTTGGTAACTTGAACCCGTTTTGGTAATCTGACCGTATCTCTCTCCTAGAGTATTAAAACAACTAAATTATCGCTTGGGTTGAAAGGAAATTCGAAGAGCTATAATTTTGTATTTCACGAGGATTCCCTAAAACAGCTGTTTACCTTGTCAAAATTGGGTTAGAACTCTGTACGAATTTTGGAGTCCTTATTTAATAGAATTTCTATGTATGTCTTCTATATGAAAAAAGGAACTTTAGGGCTGATCTTTTATTATTTAAAGGGAGTCCTCTACAGTATTGAATCATCATACAGAGGAGAAGCATTCAGAATAAAGAAGAAATCGATCCATGGCGGTGAAGATGTCTTCCTCAACCATGAAGAATTCCACTCCAGTTATGCTTGGCAAAACGCTTTGCTAGGGTTGTGATGTAGCCCTAGTTTAGCACACTGGTTTGATTGTATTTAATTATTGGAGAACAATTTTTATCATGCATGATTGTGTAATCTATAGGATTTTTAATTGACTTTTCAATAAGAATCGGTTTTAGAGTTTTAGTTTAATTACAAATATTTTTTTATTGTCTTAGATATTTTAATCTTGTGATTAAACACAACTCATTCACTTCTTGTAGTTATGAATGAGATGATTACACAATGGTTTTTATTTGAATATAATGTTAGAGATTTGATGGATTATGCCTAGAAAAGATAGACCATGCTACACCCTAGAGTAAAGTAGTTAGGTAGATGGTTTATGCCAATCGAAGATAGTCCATGCTTAGCTTTAAATTATATTATTTTCTAGCTAAATTAATATGTGCTTGTAGCCATGATTAATTCCCTATGCATGTTATATGATATATCTCCAATAAATTGATACAATTAACTGGTGGTGCGACGGTAGTGACGAAGTCATACCCCTAGTCCTCTCTCTATTTTCTACATCCTATTTAATCATTGTTCTTTAGTTTATTTTATTTTTCTACTCAGTTAATTTAGAGTTAATCATCACAATTCGATTATCTTACTTTCAATTTAATTTCAAATTTAAGAAATCTGTTGACAAACTTATTTTACACAAGTCCCTTGGGCACGACACCCTTACAAGTAAACCCTATCTGCAAAGATTCGTGCACTTGCGAATGGTACATATAAATTTCATAACAAGTTTTTGGCGCTATTGTCGGGGACTTGTTTTAGTTCTTGACAGATAATATTAAATTCTACAATTAATTTTAATTAGGATCTTAGTTTAGGATTTTATTTTATTTTATTTATTTTATTTGATTCTATTCACAATTTCAGGTGGAAGACGTTCTTTATCACTCCCTCAGCTTCCGTTAGACCCAAAAATCGAAAGAACTCTCAGAAACTTGAAGAAAGATTTTGGAGGCCTTAAAAATGAAAAGATGGCGGATTATCCACCAGCTGCAGAAGCAGTTCGCTGTTTATAGGATCAATACGAACCAGGTGCATACAACTCTTCATCTACACTTTGGTATCCTCAAGTGAGGGCCCCTCACTACGAAATTAAGGCTAGTACTCTTCAGTTACTGCCTTCTTTTTACGGCCAATCAAAAAAGGATCCATATCGACACTTGGATAACTTTGCAGAGGTGTGCAGAACAATAAAAATCCAAAGCTTTGACGATGATGTGCTCAAGCTACACCTTTTCTCCTTTTCATTGAAGGACAAAGCGAAGGACTGGTTTAATTCATTGCCAATAGACTCCATCACTACATGGGATAAATTGCAACAGAAGTTTTTGAACAAGTACTTCCCCATGGTGAGAACTACTCAATATCGAGATGCTATTACTCGTTTTGCTCAAGGGCCTAACGAGCCTTTTCATGAAGCTTGGAAAAGATTCAGAGACCTTCTTCGGAAGTGTACTCATCATAACATGCCAAAATGGTAGCTTGTCAACTTCTTTCATAAGGGGCTCAATGAGGCACAAAGGTATATGGTAGATGCCTTTTGTAGTGGAAATTTTATGTTGAAGAGTGTAGAGGAAGCATAGCAGCTTTTCGAAAATATATCTGATAATTCTACACAACATGTCTTACCTCTAGTAGCAAGACCTCATACTATATTAAGGAGAGCAGAAAGTATGAATGAAGCAGGAATAAATCAAAGGCTAGTGAGCCAAATGGAGGCATTAACCAAGAGGATGGATTAATTGATGACTTCATAGTCAAATTTTACTCCTCCTTTGACTAATGCACAAGGCTTTGAAGTGTGCTCTTTCTGTTCCAGTCTAACTCACCATGTGTCCATTTGTCCAAGTGCAGCTCAGTATTTAGAAATTCCACAAGAGCAAGTTAATGCTACCTATAGAAGGCCTGGAGGGAATAATATGTATTCAAACACTTACAATCCGGCTTGGAGAAACCATCCAAACTTCTCATGGAGAAATCCAGCCATAGGGACATCAGCTCCTCCACCTCAAGTACCTCAGGTGCAAGGCAATTTTCAATCTCCAGTTCAGACTTCAAATCCTCAAGGGTTCACTCCTATGAATGCCTTCAGTAAACCTCAACAATTCTTATCAATGCTCGAGGCAATGATGGCAAAGCAGTTAGAGCCAACTAATCAACTTGTGCAGTCTCATTCTTAATCCCTTGCCAAGTTAGAGACTCAAGTTGGCCAACTAGCTCAAGCCTTGAACAGAAGAGAGGATGGCAAGCTTTCTAGTCAACCGGTAGCTAATCCAAGAGGTGTGCGTATAATTGATGACATTACTGGCCAAGAAGTCCACCATGAATAAGTGCAAGCAATTACTACTCTAAGAAGTGGTAAGAGGGTTGAAAACAAGGTGGAAAAAGAGGAAATAAAGAAGGATAAAAATTGGAAGAAAAGACTTGAAGAGAAAAATGAGGGTAATGAAAAAGCACAAGAAATACCTCCAACTACTGAGCCATCTCTTGAGCAGAGACATGCAGTTGTGCCATTCCCTTAGAGACTACAAGAAACATCAAAAGCAGCGAAGCAAGCAAGCAAACTTTAGGACATAATGGAGATGTTCAAATAGGTGAAGATTAATCTCTCATTGCTTGATGCAATTCAGCAAATTCCAGATTACGCCAAATTTTTGAATATGTACTCAGAAGAGGCGTTCAAATAGCTATGTTCCTAAGAAGGTGCTATTAACTGAGCAAGTCAGTTCTATAATTCAGCACTGCACTGCTCCAAAATTCAAAGATCCAGGCACTCCAACAATTTCATGTACAATAGGGAATCATCAAGTAGAGCGAGCTCTCCTAGATTTGGGTGCAAGTGTAAACCTTCTTCCTTATTCAGTTTACTTGCAACTCGAATTAGGAGAATTGAAGTCTACCTCCATTATTCTCCAATTGGCAGATAGGTCAACTAAACAGCCTTGTGGTGTGTAATACCCCTAATTTTCAAAAGGATAGTCTCGGTATTTTGTTTAATTGTTTTCTGTTCATTAATTGTTTTTAGTTCATTAATTGTTTTGAATTATGTTTTAATATGTTTTAATTGGTTTTTT